AAAAAATTATTTTCAGCTAGCTTGATGTCAAATCAAAAAATAATTCTTGTCTAGTCCTCACTTTTTAATAGTTTTCCACAAGAAATTGTTTATAACAAGTGGTTAATGGAACTCTTCTCTGTGAAATATCGTGTTTTTCTACTAGAGAAAATATCATTTTTATGATGTTTGAGGCTCAGAAACACGCATGAATATAAATCTGAACATATTTTGAAGATAATTCAACTGAGAAAATAACTTTTGTTGACATAATTTCAAATTTTGTTTGATTGAAAACGCTATCTATTTTTAGATCCTTTAAATTGTATGCTTAATTTTGCCCTTCAACAATGTGAAAAATATATCTTCTATGTACTAACTATTTGTTTTGAATAGCTTGTATGCTTGAATTTGATATCAAATAGATATTGATTCTGTATCCCGTAGTGGTTCAACAAGTGTCGTTATTCAGAAAGATCTTTCTGAATACACTCTACATTGTACCAAGTATCGAGCATCTGAGTTTTATTCTGATCATTTAGAGTATCTTCAAGATTTTCTTTTTTCTAAATGTGTTACAAGATTTAAGCTAAATAGTCTTCATGAACTATTGACTGCTGTTGATTTGAATTTGAAGGTTCATTGTCATGATGATGAATGAAATTGTTCAGATTGTGGAAAGATTTGACCATTTACAAATTCAATCCAATTCATTTATCGAAATTCAGGAACAGAGTCAAAAATAGTACTCTGCAAGAGTGGTCTTACAAATATATACTATAAAATATTATGCTACAGTTTAGTTTAACACATGGTGAATTATGGAAAATCGATCGAATTCATTCAATGTAATGATTTTACATCCAGATATGACACATTAAACATGATCTATATAGATTCTATGCTAAATCTTAGCATCTCAGTTGATAGTAAGATTTATTGTTTTCAATTTGGATAGATCAATCCACAATATTTCCTAACGTAAGCAGTGTTCACGAGTATGGCAACATAGCAAAAAAGAATTCCTATATCTCGATATGACATCCCATCTATTATTGCAATGAATATTAGACCATGAATTGTCTCTGAAGTAATGAGTATTCGATCTGAAAATTGTGGGGAAAATAGCAGAATGATTGTTATATGTTTCTGAAAAATGGATAAACTAATTACTACTTAAGTGGCTTATCAATGACTTCTTTTCATAATTTATTCTGATTGATAAGCCTTTTCTCTTCATTAAGTTTTGAAAACCTGAAAATTCCTGAGAATGCAATTAAGAATGCACAACAAAAAGCATGAAGAAAGAGCAAAGTGAGGGTTTGAAAAATGTAGTGAAAAAGTAGGCGTGAAATGACTGTTCTCATAAATATATTGTCGACATTTGATGTTCTCAACATAAAGTGGACACTTGTTTCATAGGATTATATTATAATAAATGACGTCTTATGTGCATTCTAGAGACTACGAAATATCTAAAAATATATACGCGGCTACACCTTCGTTGTACTTTGAAAACTTGTCTTTTATTCATAGATCAGTAATTATATCCTCCTATCCAATGTGATCAAGAAATAAATGAAGTCGATAACAATAGCATAGAGTGTAAATCAAACACTATTTCATTATGAAACATTTAAAAAGAATGAATTAACATCATTTTTTTGTTTGATGTTCTTTGGATAACATGTAAACTAGTTCTTCTAGTTCATATGAAATTATATGACGAAACATAATTTCATACGGTACTAAACTGTTTTTATTTATGAAGAATGAATTTTATTTTCTTTTATAAGTATTTCGAATAAAACGAAATGCTTGATACTTTATGTTTTACCATATCTTCCATACTAAATATGAAAAAATATAAACATCAACTAGATATATAGCCCAAGCTCTAAAATAAATCAAAATATTGAAACCACATCAGTACTAATCACCAAAAAGCTAAAAATAAAATTTTTACGCAGACTTCTAATTTTGTTAATTCGTAAAATATTTCATAGAATAACACTTGAAAAAAATATTTTACATCAATTATAGTTTTCAGTAAAGATTTGACGTTCAATTAATTATCAAAAGTAACAAAAAAAGATTAAGTTTAACGTCAATTATAATTTCTAATACAGAATCTGCTTTTATATAATGATAGCAAGAAAAAAAAAGTCCATTATTATGTCAGTTAATATTTAGAATCCACAACGGTTTTTTCCATACAAACATGTCAAAAGCAGAAAGGAGAAACAAAACTATGAACAAGTGCTTGACATAAGACTTTCATAAAAACATTGCCAGCAGGAAAATATTGAATAATCTATAGAAAACATTGTTAGTTGAGAGTATGTCCTTCTTGACTCTTAGTTTTTGACACAGGTAAGAATCTTAGCTTTCTTATACAAGTAAACCAGGATTCATTTAATGTAACGATCGCATCAGCACTGAAATCGCTTGAGTATGAATTGAGTTACCTTACGTGATCTCCAAGATCATTGAGAATCTGATTATTCAAAAATAAAATACTCTTTCTGAGTCAATCAGTCTCTCATTTGCATTCATATTATACAACTACTTCAGACATAGACTCTACCGAAGTTCATTATTTCATTGACAGTGGAAAATATATTTANCAGAATCTACTTTTATATAATGATAGCAAGAAAAAAAAAACCATTTTATGTCAGTTAATATTTAGAATCCACAACGGTTTTTTTCCATACAAACATGTCAAAAGCAAAAAGGAGAAGAAAAACTATGAACAAGTGCTTGATATAAGACTTTCATAAAAACATCATCAGCAGGAAAATATTGAATATTCTATAGAAAACATTGTTAGTTGAGAGTATGTCCTTCTTGACCCTTAGTTTTTGACACAGGTAAGAATCTTAGCTTTCTTATACAAGTAAACCAGGATTCATTTAATCTAACGTTCTCGTCAGCACTGAAATCGCTTGAGTATGAATTGAGTTACCTTACGTGATCTCCAAGATCATTGAGAATCTGATTATTCAAAAATAAAATACTCTGTCTGAGTCAATTAGTCTCTCATTTGCATTCATATTATACAACTACTTCAGACATAGACTCTACCGAAGTTCATTATTTCATTGACAGTGGAAAATATATTTACTGGAAACAGAGATACGAGAATACAACAATAGTGTGGACTTGAATAGTCAATAATTTAGTTATCAATTACTGGATTAATTTTAAGCTTTCAAGATATGCGTCTTTCACAGTTGAACATTGTCTTCTAGAATTTCCATAAATAAGCAACTTATTAAATGAGAGTAGCATGAAAATCATCATTGAAAAATTGTTAGAAGTGCGAACACAACACTGTTAAAATAAAAACAAAATTTTTATAACAACAGAAGAGCATGAGTTTGGCTGCAGTTTCATAATAAAAGAATCAATAGTCTCTCATCTATTGCTTAGAAAACTTATCATAAATGAGTTATAATTCTTCTATACTTCAACACTACGTTGAAATCGTATTTCACTAAATATTACTTATAATATATATTTATGTCAAAGCATAGGCTTGTCAGAAAAAGAAGAAAAACATGATTTATACAAACAGTAGAGAAAAGTTCAAATGTTCATCATCGGATAGTATTTTTGACTTATTAGCGAGAAACAAAAAGAAACCAATAAATTTCACTCCAAAAAACTATGCAGAGTAGAACGATTTGATCCAAAGATCTACAATAATCTAATTTTAGTTCTTCTTGCCTTTTATAAAAACATGAGGAATTTGTTTTTATGAGTTTACTTAAGTAGACAATACAGGCACTTAATACAAATAAACCCTTTCTTTAAAAACAGTATTCAGTGGTAGGTGTGTGTTCAATGTCAAGCTTTCTGTGGTTTTGAACTAGCAGATACTCGGTAGATATATCATAGTTCTGATATAGGTCCTAATAACTTTTTTTTCTTCTATATCTGCCATAACAGTTGCAATAAGTCCTTCATTTATCTTTTCTGTAACGCCCCCCTCCCCTAAAAACAAAGAAAAAACTAGACGTCTACTCCATAATAGAAACTTGCCCCCGCAACAATAATTTTTCAACGTAATAGAAACCCGATCCTATTAATGTCAAAGCTGATTAAAAATGCACGACTGTCGAAATCTTTATGTCAAGAAAATGAAAAACAAACAGAATTTTAGACAACCAAAACGAGTATGATTTTATGGTTTTGATTACATCCTAATTAAAATGTCGGTTTCAACCAATAAACAAAGAAAAATCACACAATGAATTCATTTCATTTTGTAAAGTGTTATTCTTTTTTATTTTTTGATATGAAAAGTCTCGAATGTCATGAATACTTTTCGGTTTTCAAATCAGTGGACAGTATGTTAGAAAATATGTGCACCTAAAATCATGATAAACTCGAATAGTTTGACTAATAATTTTTGTTGTCGTAAGTTGAAAGATCGTATGCTTCTCTACTTTTCAGAAGAATTGTTTGAATTCTAATTTGTGATATATGACGGGACATTCTAAACGGAGGGATGAAAGAAAGAATCGGAGTCACTTTCGGTCTTCTAAAATCACTTTTTCTTGCTTGGGTATGTAGAAAAGTTTTCAAGAAACCTTTTAAAAATTTGATGATATTCTCTGAACATTTTTACGATTTATAAATTTTTTCTCAAAAATAAAGAGAATACAACATTTGTACGGTTTCGTTGATCCATATTTTCCCCTACGCATCTTCAGATGTTTCACTTCGAAATACGTCTGGTAGTACAGATTCAAAGTAGTATTTTTTGTTTTGTTCGTTTCTTATAATGTTAGTAAATTTTTTTCTCGATGAGAACTTTCCGTAAACCATTTCAAAAGAAAAAAAATGGATCGCAATAGAAGCCCAGTTGGCTTCTATTCTGGAGGAGTTTACTCTTCCTTTTTGTAACTCATACTTAATTAATATTTATTATTAGTGTTTTTTCTTATCAAATGTATTCAATTTGGCTTGAATGCAGGTTTTGCTCGATTCATCTATTAATTATATATTTCAGAATGTCAGTTTCTACCCTAACTAACGTACGACTCAATATAGGTCGTTATGGTTTGTCAACTATAATTGCGCTTGGCAATATTAATAGGGTGTGGGTGTGGGTGTGGGTGTGGGTATTAGCCGCTTTCTGTAAATTGAAATTTTATGGACCACACGTGTTATTAATGCTTTCAAGAAGTTTTAGTAAATTTTATTAGTACATAGAAAAAAGGGTAATTATTTTTTTTATTTTTAGAAATAGCTTCCTGTATTGATCGATGGGCTTTGACTTCTTCAAATGCTAGAATTCGATCATTTTGTCAACCAAAAATTGCTCATAATATTATCATTTTTCTTATGCTTATTTGGCCAATTATTCCAATATTCCTAGCTACCCTCTCAAATATTTATTCTGGTCGTTGTAGTCAACCTTCATATTATGCTTTTCCAATTTCAATGTATTCATTTATTTTTGTGGGATCTCTTCCACCATTATTAATGTTATTATTTGGTTTATTAACGTGGCGTAGCTTAAAAGAAGTTCGGTCACGAATTGCACCTGAAAATGATTCTACTCAATATCGTTTACAAAGACGTGATCGTGACTTGATGAAAATGGTAGTTGGTGACATACTTGTCTATTTAATAACTACAATGCCTTATCCTGTTAATTCACTGTATGGTATTATCACTGCATCTATTGCACAACAAAAGAGTGAAATGCGTTTGGCTATTGAAACACTTATTTCATATATAATTAGTCAAATATTGATTTATATATATTATGTTACTCCATTTTTTGGTAGAGTTTGCTTGTCAATTTTGAATTTAAGTTTTATTTATCATGATCCATGTTGTTTTGTTTTTATTTTAGTATATTCAATTAGCTCAAAGAAATTTCGAGGTGATTTTATTCGCTTAATTCGTTGTCAATCAATGCTCTAAGTGAACGATGCGTAAAATGGAAAAGAAGTTATAGCAGACCTCGATTACGTGTAAAAAAATTACATTTGAAACAAAATATCAAAAAAATTTGGAGTAAACATGTAAATGTTATGAAAAAGGATTTGTACAAATAACAACAAAAATATCACAAATAGACTAATCTGTATTTACTCCACTCAAAAATTAATGTTTTTCGTCATTATTTTTATTGTATCAGTCAATAAAGAAAAATAACCTAAATGTGTTAATGGTATTCTATGAGAAACATACAATTTTCTGATATTTGAGATTTACTGTCAATCATAACATAGTGAAGATCTAGAAAACTATATACTCATGTCACTATATAAATCATGCTAAATTATAATTGACTTCTTTTTGCTAGTGAAAATGTGAAACATGTTTGTTAACAAAGACTAACATTGCATAAACAAAATCAAAGTTGTTCCTACTGATGTACTACTCACTTACGAATCAACACGGGTCTTTCGAGATGTTTTATGTAATAAAACATAGTATTCTTCTCATTGCTGCATACATATGATAATTTTTGTCTTATGAAAGCAGAATATGAAAACTTGATGATACAAATCTTGATTAATATTTACTGGTTTTAATAGGTGTGTAAGTGGAAGTGCACAAACAAATTAAACACACATCTATGCATATCTCTAAGTACTCATATCGAAGTCATCAGTGTTTCATGAGAGTCAACATCGCTAGCATCGATAATGAGTAAACTGAAACTGTCCATCCGTATTGAATAAGTGTTAGTTTTAAATTATGATATGTCGATTCTTCTATCTCTCCTTTCATTTCTTACAGTAAGTGTATCAATAGTCAAGTACATGAGTTTGACTCAATGATGATGATATTATTATGCTCGATATGTATTTTTTCTGATAATTCTTCTGTTATAATAATAGTGTAAGGAATTATTGTACTCATTTATTATATAAAAATAGGATCTACATATTGACGTCGACATCCGCCACAACATTTTTGTTCACCTTCACTTTCACATTCACTGTCATCATTACATCGAGCAAAACAAACGGCTCTTTCACCTGATGATGATGGACAAAGTCCTGGTTTATTAGAATTTCGTTCAGGTGGTTGTACATTACTGGGACTACAGACACCATAAGCATCGTTCAGTGCAATCGTGCAATCGTGTGTTGATGGGCATTCACGATGAATCGAACCACGTCCACAAAAATAATCAGCCAGTGGAGTCTCTTCTCGGGCACATAGACTTTTTGCTGCACACACACATTAACTGTTCATTGGAGTCACGTTTAACACCATATTGACAATAAATCATACACATACGAAGAACCTGAAACTAATGTAGCAGATGGTGCGATGCGCAAGACGAGAATAAAATTAACCAAAGTGACTCGTATCTTAGAGATATGTGATGGAATCAAAACGCGTAAATATTTTCAAGATGCTTTATTTTTTACATGATTAATAGTCAGCTGACGAATATACCCACATTGTGTTATTTTAGAATAAAATTTGTTTTCTTTGCTTATTGATTAGTATTTATTTCATTTAAAAGAGGGTGTGGGTGTGAGCGTGGGTGTGGGTGTGAGCGTGGGTGTGGCATACTTGGAACCGGACCGGTAAACCGGTATCGGACCGGCCCGGTTTGCCGGTCCGGGCCGGTCGAACGTTCGAGACCGGCCGGTTTTTGCCGGTTTTGTACCGGTTTTTTTATCATTTTAAGAGGATAATGTTTCATTGTTTTATAGATATCGTACATTATAACAGACAAAGATATCGGATTGATAATTAAAAATTTAAGTATGAGAGATGAGAAAGAGATTATATGAAATCAGTACTGCATTAATCTTACATCGCTTTACAATCCCGAAGGTTTAATCNTTGCCACCGCAACAATAATTTTTCAACGTAATAGAAACCCGCTCCTATTAATGTCAAAGCTGATTAAAAATGCACGACTGTTGAAATCTTTATGTCAAGAAAATGAAAAACAAACTGAATTTTAGACAACCAAAACGAGTATGATTTTATGGTTTTGATTACATCCTAATTAAAATGTCGGTTTCAACCAATAAACAAAGAAAAATCACAGAATGAATTCATTTCATTTTTTGTAAAGTTTTATTCTTTTTTTATTTTTTGATATGAAAATTCTCGAATGTCATGAATACTTTTCGGTTTTCAAATTAGTGGACACTATGTTAGAAAATATGTGCACCTAAAATCATGAAAAACTCGAATAGTTTGACTAATAATTTTTGTTGTCGTAAGTTGAAAGGTCGTATGCTTTTCTACTTGTCAGAAGAATTGTTTGAATTCTAATTTGTGATATATGACGGGACATTCTCAACGGAGGGATGAAAGAAAGAATCAGAGTCACTTTCGGTCTTCTAAAATCACTTTTTCTTGCTTGGTTATGTAGAAAAGGTTTCAAGAAACCTTTTAAAAATTTGATGATATTCTCTGAACATTTTTACGATTTATAAATTTTTTCTCAAAATAAAGAGAATACAACATTTGTACGGTTTCGTTGACCCACATTTTCCCCTGCGCACCTTCAGATGTTTCACTTCGAAATACGTCTGGTAGTACAGATTCAAAGTAGTATTTTTGTTTTGTTCGTTTCTTATAATGTTAGTAAATTTTTTTCTCGATGAGAACTTTCCGTAAACCATTTCAAAAGAAAAAAAATGGATCGCAATAGAAGCCCAGTTGACTTCTATTCTGAAGGAGTTTACTCTTCCTTTTTGTAACTCATACTTAATTAATATTTATTATTAGTGTTTTTTCTTATCAAATGTATTCAATTTTGCTTGAATGCAGGTTTTGCTCGATTCATCTATTAATTATATATTTCAGAATGTCAGTTTCAACCCTCACTAACGTACGACTCAATATAGGTCGTTATGGTTTGTCAACTATAATTGTGCTTGGCAATATTAGTAATATTTTAACAATCCTTATATTCATACGAATATTACGAAAACAACTCAATTCATGTACAATGTACTTATTAGCTTCTTCAATTGCAAATATTATTTTGATTGATACTGCAGTTATTTCCTCACTTTATGGTATTGATCATCCTGATCCAGTACATTTATTAGTCGCTTTCTGTAAATTGAAATTTTATGGACCACACGTGTTATTAATGCTTTCAAGAAGTTTTAGTAAATTTTATTAGTACATAGAAAAAAGGGTAATTATTTTTTTTTATTTTTAGAAACAGCTTCCTGTATTGATCGATGGGCTTTGACTTCTTCAAATGCTAGAACTCGATCATTTTGTCAACCAAAAATTGCTCGTAATATTATCATTTTTCTTANAAAAGAGTGAAATGCGTTTGGCTATTAAAACACTTATTTCATATATAATTAGTCAAATATTGATTTACATATATTATGTTACTCCATTTTTTGGTAGAGTTTGCTTGTCAATTTTGAATTTAAGTTTTATTTATCATGATCCATGTTGTTTTGTTTTCATTTTAGTATATTCAATTAGCTCAAAGAAATTTCGAGGTGATTTTATTCGCTTAATTCGTCGTCGATCAATGCTCTAAGTGAACAATGCGTAAAATGGAAAAGAAGTTATAGCAGACCTCGATTACGTGTAAAAAAATTACATTTGAAACAAAATATCAAAAAAATTTGAAGTAAACATGTAAATGTTATGAAAAAGGATTGGTACAAATAACAACAAAAATATCAGAAATAGACTAATCTGTATTTACTCCACTCAAAAATTAATGTTTTTGTCATTATTTTTATTGTATCAGTCCATAAAGAAAAATGACCTAAATGTGTTAATGGTATTCTATGAGAAACATACAATTTTCTGATATTTGAGATTTACTGTCAATCATAACATAGTGAAGATCTAGAAAACTATATACTTCTAAATTAAATCTTGATTTAAAACAAAAATATACTCATGTCACTATATAAATCATGCTAAATTATAATTGACTTCTTTTTGCTAGTGAAAATGTGAAACATGTTTGTTAACAAAGACTAACATTGCATCAACAAAATCAAAGTTGTTCCTACTGATGTACTACTCACTTACGAATCAACACGGGTCTTTCGAGATGTTTTATGTAATAAAATATAGTATGCTTCTCGTTGCTCTATACATATGATAATTTTTGTCTTATGAAAGCGGAATATGAAAACCTGATGATACAAATCTTGATTAATATTTACTGGTTTTAATAGGCGTGTAGATGGAAGCGCACAAACCAATTAAACACACATCTATGTATATCTCTAAGTACTCATATCGAAGTCATCAGTGTTTCATGAGAGCCAACATCACTAGCATCGATAATGAGTAAACTGAAGCTGTCCATCCATATTGAATAGGTGTTGGTTTTGAATTATGATATGTCGATTCTTTTATCTCTCCTTTCATTTCTTACAGTAAGTATATCAATAGTCAAATACATGAGTTTGATTCAATGATGATGGTATTATTATGCTCGATATTTATTTTTTCTCATAATTCTTCTGTTATAATGATAGTGCAAGGAATTATTGTACTCATTTATTATATAAAAATAGGATCTACACATTGACTTCGACATCCGCCACAACATTTTTGTTCACCTTCACATTCACTATCATCATTACATCGAGCAAAACAAATGCCTCTTCCACCTGATGATGATGGACAAAGTCCTGGTTTATTAGAATTTCGTTCAGGTAGTTGTACATTACTGGGACAACAGACAGCATAAGCATCGTTCAGTGCAATCGTGCATGGGGGTGTTGATGGGCATTCACCACAAAAATAATCAGCCAGTGGAGTCTCTTCTCGGTCACATGGACTTTTTGTTGCACACACACATTAACTGTTCATTTAAGTCACGTTTAACACCATATTGACAATAAATCATACACATACGAAGAACCTGAAACTAATGTAGCAGATAGTGCGATGCACAAGACGAGAATAAAACTAACCAAAGTGACTCGTATCATTAGAAATAAATGATGAAATCAAAACGCGTAAATATTTTCGAGGTGCTTTATTTTTTACATGATTGATTGTCAGCTGACGAATATACCCACATCGTGTTATTTTAGAATAAAATTTGTTTTCTTTGCTTATTGATAAGTATTTATTTCATTTAAAAGATAGTTGTTTCACATACACGAAGACAGCCATTACAACATTGTTGCTCTTCAATATCGGTATTATGACAGAGATACTGGTTATATATACTGAAGTTGAGAAAATACCATTAGTCTCTGCTTAAAGTTTTAAGAAGTCTATATAACGGAAGCATTGCTCAGAGTAACATCTATTGATACGATCTATAAAAAACAAGTGGCAGCAAATATCAATTTACATGTTTCTTATTGATTGAAATCGACTGTATTTAAAAAGAAATCGAAATGAAAGACCGTTGTTGATGCGCAAGAAAAAACTGAAGATTGTCGAGCAATGTTTTGTGAATTGTTGACTTCTACTAATTTCGATACATTGAAGTTAATTTCGAGACTCTATGTACTTTGAAACGATTTTCGACTGATTTAAATACTTGCAGTCGATTATCAAACATCTATTAATCAATTATAATTGGATATTTTTAGTGATGGTCAGATTCCAAGTTTTATTATGGAAAACATGAAACACAATTAATTTATTATGAATTAAATCGAAATCTAACGAAGTGCTATAATATAATAAACACTTTCTAGCATTTTTTTACTGGATTCTCCAATGAAATTAAGTAATCCTTTTGATATTTTTATGTCCATCTTTTGATTTCAAAGAAAATTGATGCCTATTCGAATAAGTTGTTTTCAAGAAATGATAAATACATTTTAGTTAGAATTTTTGAACAAAAGAAATAATATCATATTCTACTATATATATTTCATGGGATTGATCAATAATGATAATATGGCATGTATATATTGAATATGTTTCTATTGATACGTTATTATCAACCTTAGTGCCAATGATTTCGTTGAATATAAGAAAAAAAGTGTTAAGAATAAATGAAAATATTTATTAAGTTGATTAATTGAATAGCATGCTAAGCTAAAAAAAACTAAATTCAATTAATGTATTCTCTCTATAAATGTGACGAATCGTATTAGTAGTATCAAAAACACAAAAAAACCGATGGTGTGCTATGGCAACTGTCCAACAATCAAGTTTGATTGTTAATGTTCAATAAATCCATCATGATTGAGATAAACAAAGTTCGGATTAATGAATAATATTGCATTCAGTATTTCTTCAATTAATTTGTAGTTCAAAGTTTTATTCTTTTTTTTCATGATAGCAGTAGGTTGTATGACTAAAGGAATACCAACTGTTGCTTGACGTCGGTGTGAAATACAAAACATACGTTTCAGTTTTCCTTTGAAATGAGGTAGTGAAGTTAAACAGACAAAAGGCATCAAAAATATAAGCCAATAAGTTGAAAAGAAGAAATAAGGCATCAACGTAGCGCCTATACTGAATGGTAGGCCACAAAGTTGAATAAAAGCTCCTAGGTTCAATGGCAAATTAAAGATGAAAAAAATGGATGAAATTGATAATAATTGTATTGTCAATTTTCGGTGCTTACGCCACTGTATTTCACGATGACGACAACGTCTTTCCATTAAAACACGGATGAGTAAACCAATACTAAAAACAGCAACAACCAAAGTAGTGAAACATCCATGTACCCCTGCTTCCCATGAATTGAGTATTGGATGACTAAAAAAGCAACGTGAAGCACTACGCACTGGTAGTGTGTAATCAAACGTATTCTTGCAAAGTGGAAAGAAAATAACCCATGTATAATAGCTAGTTGTACAGATGATGATCATAGTTAATGGAAGATAATGAACAAGGAAACGTCCTCTTCTTGTAGATAACCATTGATTGTGAAATACAAAAATATGTCGTTCTATTGAAGCCCATGCAGTTAGTATACAACATGTTTCATAGAAACCAATATCGACCAACCACCATATGAGACAAACAAATGGAGTTTG